AGCTGATCCTGTGGCTCTATGATTCTGTGATTCTATAATTCTATGATTCTCAGCAGCCCTGGGAGACTCCTCACCTACCCAGGTGAAATCCCAGCTGCTGAGCCCCTTTTCCCAGCCCTGGGGAGTGGCCTGAGCAGGTTTTTACCTACCCATGGAACACCCAGGTGCCACACTCGTCCGCCTTGGTGATGTAGTTCTCGGGCAGCAGCCCCGAGCAGCCGGTTGCGAGGGAAATGCCGTAAATCCAGCCCTCACTTGTGCTGGTTTGTTCCACTGGGGACATGAAGATGAAGTCCCCCGGGACCAGCTCCAGTTCATCGTCGTTCTGGGGGGTGTAGGGGTAGATCACCTGCAGAGTCTGGGGGAGAAACAGAAGCACAAATGAACGAGAGGGTTGTTAAGGGAAGGGAACCTCTGGCAGAGTGGGGCAGGAGCGGCCCCACACCACACCTTTAACCTCAGCAAGGTGTGAACAGCTCTCCTTGTGCTTTACCCAGGAAAGCTTCCCTTCAGGGAATTCCTGCTGCTTCCCCCTCGTTGCTGTTGGAAGGCTTTTCTAGGTATTTGCTCCTTCTTCCCTCTTTGATTTCAGTGGCATCTTTGACAACCAGGAGGGGAAGGGGGGGGGGATGATTTTTTAAATTGAGCAAAATCATGACTGTGTGCTTAGACCTGTTTAAAATGGAACTGAGTTCTTGTTGGGACCTGGAATTTAGACAGCCCTAGTGGTCAGTCACCATTTTTGATTTACCTACACATGTTTGATCTGAAAGGGCAGTTCTTGTTGCTGTTGCTTTTGAATTCAGGGCAGAGACACTGCTGGGAGGGCAACAGGTATGAATCTGTGACCTGCTGCTCTCAAAGCTGTTCATGGGAATGCACAGGAAAAAACACAGGTGATGAGAAATGTTGGCCACATTGTTTTCTTTGTATTTCCTGACACGAACAGGATTAAGTTAAAAGGTGGGAGAAAGATGAGTGAGTGTAGTTCTGTGACCTTCACTTGAGCATGAGGAATCCACATGTATTAAATGTCTACCATTAAATTTCCTTGGGAATGGCTACAAGAGTCCCCAGTTTAAAAGGGGATCAGATGTATTCTTGTCCCCTGGCCACGAATAACTTCTGGATCATTGCAGAAAAGAAGGAAACCCCTCATGTGCTGAGCAGCTCTGCTCTCCTGGTGGTGTCAGCCCTCACCAATCCTTCTAGACTGTGTGTGGCATCTTCAAAGGAAGATGGAAACAAGTTACTGTCACCTGATACCACATGGCCCAAACTTTCTCAGGTGGCTGCCTGAAGTGAGATATGCAAAGCTGGAGCTGGGTTTCAGCAGCAACTGCCTTTGCCAGCAGCAGGAGTGGTGACTGTGTGAAGCTTCTGAAGGTCACAAGGATGCTCTGGATAGGAAAGGAGGCTGTCACACAGCCTGGGCTGGCTCAGAGAGATGTCAGCTCTCCAGGAGCCTTGGCATTTGTGTGAAAAATTGCTTTTCCCCACTCTGCCACAGGTTCTGTGTGTCTGGTTCTGGGCAATGCACCTCGGTGGGGTTGATCACCCCAACCTTAGGAGCTGAGTTAAACACTTGAGCTGAGCAAGCACCCTCTGGAAGTTCCCTCCTCCAGACACTGATTCATCCTGAGATAGACATCTCAGATGGGTCAGATGTCTCGTGTTCTGGAGGTGCCTGTTTCTCTGCACTGAGCCTCAGACTACAGGTCTAACTCAGGTATTTACAGTGAGGTCAGATGAATCTCACCTTTGGTTTCTCAATGCCCAAGATCCCAATCTGTGAAATGGAATTAATATTGTTTTTCTGTGTGTTACGTGGAAAACAACATTATTAAGGAAACCATCATAAGGGACTTAAATACTGTAGTTATAGAATCCACATGAGTAATTGAAATATATGAGGAGAAATGTTTCTTACATGAAGGAACTAAGTGCTGTGGTCAATAATAAAGTCAAGGCTGTACAGCAGAACTGGATACTGGTCAGGTTAAAATACTGGTCTGGTTCTGGAGAGATCAGACCAGTTTATGTTGAGCTCAGAGGAGAGTCATTATTAGAATTAATTACTCCAGCAGGACACTGTTGCTGCAAGAAGGAAGGGATGAGGGGGGTGAAACAGCAAGTCTGGACAGCAGGAGTAAAAAGAAAAAAGAAAGGCAGTAAGGACTGTTTGTTAAGATGACTGGTTAGTTTGGGGTGGTGTTTTTTCTGAGACAAGCTCCAAACTTTACCTCGTGGTTGACGAAGCGAATGTCTCGGGAGAAGATCGCGGCCACCCAGTCACAGCCCAGCTTGACATCAATGTTCTGGGCCAGCTTCTCCAGCGTGGGCAGGTGGCTGCTCTGGAAGTGATAGGCCAGTGTCACGTGGAGCTGCTTCTTGTGGGGCTCCACGTGGACATCTGCAAGGGGAAGACGTGGGTGAGCAACCCCTGGCTGTGAGATGGGAGGTGAGATGTGCTGGGAGGGCAAATGTCACCTCTGCCAGCAGCTGGGAGATGATGGGCTTTGAGAGACACTCAGGAGGAACAAACTGCAGGGCAGTTTGAACAGGCTCTGAGGAAGTCAAATGTGAGTTCTCTGCATTGCACTTTGGATCAAATTATTAGAGGTTTGTGGTCTGGTTCAGCCCTGAGTCACCCCAGGGTGGGAGACGAGGCTTCCCTGCCCAACTGCCAAACAACTTGTTTCTGGGTGGTGTGATAACAGTTATTGCCATTCTGAACACACTGCCAAAAAAAGACACTTTTCCAGGTAACTGGTAGGCTTTCATGAGCAGCTGAGGATCTCTCCAAAATAAGCAAGTTAAAAAGCACAGTTTTTCCTCTCCCTCCTTTGTTCTCTCTGCTACACCAGCAATCACAGATCCATGGAATCTACAGGTTCATGCAAGGTGATTAAATGTTTTCCCTTGGGCATTAGTTGGATTACCAGTTTAGCCACTGAGGGTGTGAGGTATTCCCAGATTGTGGAAACAGACACTGATATAATAATGACTCAAAATGATCCTGCAGAAAAAAAACAAACAAACAAACAAAAAACACCTGCATTAGGAAAAGATTCCAGGAAGCAGAAAGGTGAAGGTGTGTGGAATATTGGGACTCTTCCAGTAGATGTGGAAATCACAGGATACATTGTTTGCATGTAATTTATTCTTGCTTATTCAACCAAAAATTGCTATTAAATTTGACTGATTGTTCAGTCAAAATTGCAGCTATTCAGAGACTTGGCTCCAAGTGCCAGCCAGGGGTAGCTTTGCAAGCTCATCCATCTTTTTTTCTTACTTTTCTTTGCTGATCAAAAAAAAAAATGTTTTGAAAAAGCCCCAGAGGCTTTAATGTGATAACCTGCCCAAGCTGTGGGGGCTGCAATGCAGAAACTGCCTTCCCCAAAAAGAACCAATTCGGTCTGAATTGGAGCAGTCACAGGGGCAGAAGTTTGTAGGAAGCCGTGGGTGCTTCCTTCTTCTGGGTCAGGGTTTGTTTTTTTGGGGTAAGAATTGCCCCTCTGACTGTGCTGGTTTGGAGGGTGTGTCTGGGGAACACTCTGGAGGGGAACATTTGTCCCTCTCTCACGTGGCTGCAGCGTCCTTGGACCTGCCCAATGTCTCTGTGCCTGTCACTGCCTAAAAAAGTGCATTTTTAAGGCTAACATTCCCTCCCTCTTCCAAAGGGAAGGAAAATTCTAGGTCATTGTTGAGTGAAAGCAATGAATTTCAGAGGTGTGGTGAACCCACAGCACATCTGGATCTCTCCTCTGTACCAGGGGCAGAGCCTTGCAGCTGTTGTGGATGGTTATGAGATGCCTGTCTAGCAAGGAAACACCCCAGGGATGCAGAATTTGCTGTATCTTGATGCATTTAAGCTCCACATTAAGCCTGTGACAGTGAAAGGCTAAACCAGTTGTGCTGTGACTAGTCCAGGCTGAGCCCTACAGTGATGGAGGGTGGGAGGATCAGTCAGGGAGCTGTTCCAGTGCAACCATGCTGTTCTGAGTTTGGGGGTCACTGGAGGACACCCAAAGAGCCTGTTCAGCAGTGGGAGCACGGGGTGCTCTGGGTACTTCCCCCTCCACAAGCAGCAGAGGAGCAGACAACAGAGCCAGAGGTGTCAGCACCGAGGTTTGAAAAGGTTCTCCCCTGGGTTGCCAGGGGTCTTGGCAGAGTCCTCTTCACACCTCAGAAATGCAGTGACAAAACAAGCATGGCCTTGAAATGGTCAAGGGGAGTTTTGTGGTGGTGGCTTGAGGCAGGGAGAGGAGCAGGAAACACTCAGCAGACAGAGAGAAAGGTTAAGGAACCACCAAATGTCAACTTCCCTTTCAGGAGATAACACTCGAGATTGAGGTGATCTTTGAGCTGAAAACACTGAAACCCAAAGCACCTGCCAGGGTGTTCCTCTCCAGGCTTTCAGTTTTCACTTAAAAAATCACCCACTGGCTTTATGAGCTTTGTTCCTTCGTGGCATCCAAAGTGAAAAAGCCCAAAATGCTGGAGCTCTTTGCAGCTCCAGCACAGCCACTCACCTGCTTTTGAAGCTGCTTCTGCAGCAAAGTCTGCAGCAAACTTCTTGAGCACCTCAGCACTCTCCTCCTTGACGAAGAGCCCGATGAAGTTGGAGGATGTGTAGAGCTCCAGGGGCAGGGGGGCAGGGAATTTGCATTTCCAGCGCATCACGGTGGCCTGCAGGGCTTCTGTGAGAGCATCCACCTTGCTGTCCTCACACTGCCGAGGCAAGGACAGGCACTTGTCAGGCAGGGGAAGAAAAGGAGTGGGTGGGTGGGTGTGAATGGCCCACCTTGGCTATAACACAGTGAGAAAAAGCACGGGGGGAGGGGGGGCACAGAAAAATCCCAGTTTAGAAATCCCCTGCCCCTCCCTCGGCCTCAGATCAGCTATCCCCAAGTGACCTTCCCAACCTCCCCCCTCATCCATTCTCGTGTTAACCATCACTTGGGATGATGAGAATTTGGTCCTCTGCTGCTGCTCTTGGCTGAAAACAACAGCTTAAAACCCAATTACCTCCTCAACAAGCCCAGGCATCAGCAAACATCCCCCCCCAGCTCCCCAAACCCTCGTGCAGGGAGCGAGGGAAGCATGCAGAGCTCCATCCTGAGCCTGGCCAGGGCTGCCCAGGAATTCATGCACAAAGGCAAGGCAGAGAGGGAGCTGGGCTTTACCATGAAGAACTGGCACAGGGTGATATGTGGGAAAATGTTGTGAGCTTTGTTCTTCCCACAGATCTGCTTTGACTGCTGCCAGAAGTCAGAGAGCTTCTGAGCCAGGGGGCCCGTGGGGCGCAGGTACAGGACGTACTCCCGGGGCAGGGGGTCGTCCAGGAACGGGTCACCCACGTGGGAGAAGAGCCTGGGGGGGAGAAACAACCGTCAGATTGTCAGATAATGGCATATTTTCTCCCAGCAAAACCAGCTTTCCCTCGTCCTCGCTCTTGTTCGTTCTCCCTCCATGGGAAGAATCCCCTCTGGCAGGTCAGGCAGGGCTGCCCTGTCTCCCTCCCAGCCCATCTCCACTCAGCAACACAGAAAATCAGGGTTTGGTTTCAGGCTGAAGATCTAACCTGGGTCACTGCTTCTGCCTTCCTGCCTTTTCAGAGTGCAAAACACAGGGGGGAGAGCACTGGAAATGGCTCAGCATCTTTGAAAAGGCAGCTCTCAGCTTTCTGTTCATCAGCTGCAGATAGTGGGGGGGTTCTTTCTCTCTCATCTGTTTCTGCTTTTACTTGAGACCACAAACTCTCTCAGACAAGGCTCTTTGCTGGATTGCTTATTTACAGCACTTAAATGGCATTCCACTAATTCTGCAGGTGTTTCTCAGATAATGCCCCTGTTTTACACCCCCCATTCTAATGGCTAAAATCTTAAATTCCCTAATTTTCTTTTACTTTTTAACATTTATTCATACCAACCAGTCGCATGCTGCTTGAACACTTCTTCCACCTGTCGATGCCAGTGCTTTTTGTCTGAGGAGAGAGCAAAATAAAGAGCATTTTAGTGTTGCTGGGTCATGTGGCTCCTGTCACAGATATTCCTTGGACCTTCCCTGTGGGAAGGGCTGTAACAGTGTGTTTGGAAACCTGTGGGATACCCTTTCCAGGTTGATTCTCTCAGCCCTGGGGCTTTTTTTTTTTCGGTTGTGCCACCTGCCAAATTGCTGCAAACTGTTTAAAGGGCAAAGTCTTTCAGCCAGGGTAAAGTATGAGACACGGACCTCTGGGCTTTCCCTGCTTCCCCAGTTTTATGGACAGTGAGACAGCAGATATTGGCATTCAGTGACCTCTTTGCTGGTCATTTCACCATGAAAACCCAAAGGTTTGGGTCTGAAAGTGCAGGCGTTGCACTGAGGACAAGAAAAATTCAACTGCCACGAGAGGGCACAAACCAGAGATTTTCAAGGTTAGAACAGTTCCCTTCCGCCCTTGCTACACGGACAGAGCTCTTCTGCTTTTTTTTCCCCCCTTCAAGACACCTCTAAATCTCTTTTCACTCCAGCTGGGAAGAGCCAGGTCTCCTGTTCTGCAAGTTTTCCAGTTGCAGGACAGATTTAACACAGTGCTGTTTAACTCCTGGATGTGGAATTGTGCTTTCCAAATGCTCGACAGCAGCACTGAAATGCAGCTGGGGATCAGGGAGGAACTCACTCAGAATCCACATGGCACAAATGCTGAGGGGGAAAATGATGAGTGGAGGAGGCAGAAAAGGACAGAAACGTTGGGGTGGTGGGGTAGCAAACAAGCTTTCAGTTGGGTAAGGGCAAAATTCCCCATGAATGGGTGATTTTAAGGCTTCTTGCTTAAGTGAAGAAGGGCAGAGTCCAGGTGGGTCTGAGATAGGGCAGTTTGGACCCTCCAGCACTTGTTGGTGTGTGACTGTGCTTCTGTCTGTCTTTCTGTCTGCAGCAATAACCCTCCAAAGCACCCTGATAACCGTGGAGAATGTTCATGCCATGTCACCCACCAGTCCTAGACATGTGCTGTTGACTCAGCTGTGTTTCAGCTCTGCCCTTGCCTTCCCCACCCCTTGAATATACATATTTTTGCTCTTTCTTAGAGCAAGAGGAAGGCAGAAAGATAAGGCTGCTGCTGTAAAAAAAAAAAGAGGGGCAAAGGGGGGCCTGTGTTGCAAATGTGTGATTATGAAAATACTTCCTCCTGAAGGGTTTTGCTGCCCTTATCTGCCAGGGGTCACTTGAGGGCACCTGCCTTCTGAAGGACAGATCTTGGGTGGTGAACACTGGAGGTTGGGGTGTTCATCTTGCTGCCCCTGCCTCAGCTGGGCTATGCAAAGCAGCCACTGCTTTGCTTTGAAAAGTAGCTCAGGGAAAGAGTGAAAAAAACCCCCCAAAAAAGCTCTTCCCAGCAACTTGCAGAGGGTGGGAACCTCTCAGGGAGGCTGGATGTTCCCTGCCCTGGTTTCTCACCCGTTGCTGTTGTGTTGCCTTTGCTCAGCTCACCTCCCCTCTTGCCTGGGTTGCTCTTTGCAACACAGGGAAATGTGTTTGAGGCGTCCAAACCATCCCTCTGCAACGTGGCTGTGTCAAACCCAGGGCAGTGAATTCCAGCTGCCCTCCCAGCAAAGCTCTGGCTTGGAAATGAGCAGTTCCTGCTGTTGCCAAGCAGGCTCTCCCTCGGGATTCCCTCTCCCCAGATCCCCAGCATGGATTTCTGGAGGAGCCACCCAAAATCCAGCAGGACAGACAGTCCTGCCACCCACCCTTGGTGACTTGTTCCCTTAATGAACTGCTGTTTCCTTGGAACAAATCACACAGTGGGAGCTCTGCTGGAATAAACTGCAGCTCCTGCAGTGCTTGGGGACCACAAAGGGCATCACAGAACATCAGGCTGGACCCTCAGACATTTGTTCATCCCTGATTTCCAAAGTTGCCTCTTTCATCCACAGGGACAAAAAAACTCCCTTTTCAATTTAATTTTCAGTGTGAGCAGGAAATGCTGCATAAAGCAACCAAAAACCAAAGTATATTTTTATCCCAGGACCTGAAACTAAGATGCTCTTCTCTTTTTTTTGTCCTTATTTTTTAATTTAGAGCAGGGAATGGTGATGGTGACTGATGGCCTCTCCATCCCTCCCCTGCAGCCAGAACTTGGAGAGGGCTCATCTTCCACCTCCCAGGCCGAGATTAACTTTTTATAAGTTGAGTACTCAAAACTAGTCACAGCTTATACAAAACTGGCCTGGTTTTCACAACTGCTGAGTGCAGTGGGAGCTGGGAGACATATTCTGCTCCTGAGAAAATCAGGTCACTTAATTAGGTGACTGGGGGCTCAGATTTACTCATGCTGGGTAGCAAATGTTGGCTGTAGCATTGTAGCAAGTGATAAAAAAAAGTGGGTTTGTGACTCAGATGAACCAGAAAACAAAAAAAGAAAAAGGGAGAAAATAACTTATTTTTCGGAATCTACCAAATGGCATCACACAGTAACCACTTCTGGCCATGCAAAAATGGCAACTGTGTTCAGGGAGCACATGAAAAGCTTTGTGCAGAATTACCAGTCCCTTGAGCCACCCCAATTCCTGCATCTCTTGACTTCTGCTGCCTCTGAGATGAAGTGCAGGGCAATCATTTAACAGCAGCACGTAATAACCCTTTGGAACAGACAGCAGGGGAGAAGATGCTCTGTTCAGCTGCAGGTCTGCAGGTGGAGACTTTAGGGCAGGGCAAAGAAAATCCTGAGAGCAGTGTCTTCCAATGCAGAGCAGCATTTGGGCCACCACAAAGAATGAGATGTATTTGATTCTTCAGCCTCTCTGTGACACTCTTGAATTGAGTATAGAAAGGAAAGTCTTTCTCTACTCAATCACTGGTTAAACAGGGCCAAAATATTGCTGGGAAGCACATCCCAGCTAAACAGTTGACCCCTTGGCACAGAACATTCCATCAAATTGGTGTTGCTGCCCTGGTTTCCATGTTAATGTGTGAGTGGTGCCCATGTTACCCCCAACCCACTGGAGGGGAGAGCACAGAGCTCTGTGTGCTGCACAGCTTAACTCCTCACCCTTGAAGGAGTTTTGGCTTCCTGCAATTTCAGGGTAGGAAATAAAAAAAATAAAAAAAGAAAGGCACAGGGGAATGTCAATTCAGCTAGGAAATATATATATATCAATAAACAGAAAGCATAATGGCCAAATCCCATTTACTTCAGAGGAAATGGCTGTAAAGGGGAATGATGCATTAACCAGAAAGAGAACCTTCAGTCTCAGAAGCACCACACAGAAACCCTCCCTCTGCTCAGAGCTCAGCTTTCTGATTTTAGTCCAGCACTTTAAAAAGGGCTCAGCTTCATTCAAGCCCAGTTTAAAAAAGGAAGGTGTGTGTGGCTGCCAGAGGCAATGAAATACTGCGTGGGAAAGTTAATGCAAACAGGGAATTAAAAGTTAATGCAAACAGTGCAAGAGCAAGGGATGGGAGGGAACTCATTTTTAAGATATTTCCTTATCTGCATTATATGTTATCACTAAAAAAGTATGCAAACTTCAGGGGGTCGATGCCCCCAGCAGGGATTTCCTTTGGCTCTTCCTTTACTTTGCCAAGCAGAGACTCCAGTTCTGCCCTGGGCAGAGCTGAGCTTTGTGTCTTTAAGGAGGACCTTATTTTGCTGTGAGTTGCTGCTCTCAGAGACAGCAGAAAATGCCAACATTTCTACCTCAGACCCACCTACAAACTGCCTGCAGAGGCACCAGGGGATTTGTGAATGAGCAATGGAAGGATGGAGGCAGCCTGTGAAAAAAAAAAAAGGGAATGACTAAATCTTCCCTTTCATTCTCAAACCCAGACAAACTTACCCAGGAACAAAAACCCCTTGGAGGGATGAATTCATCATCTTCAGTAGCCCTGAATCTCTGGCCCATAAAATATTTAGCTGAGTAAATACTGATTTTTTTTTGGAAATGGCATTAAACATGATGGAACACTTGGCTCTCCTCGTTAGGTTCTGTTCAAAGGCCTGCCTGACATGATAAGATAGGAATTACAGATCATAATTTATGCCAAGGGAGTTTGAAAGAAGGATGCTGTCACACAGAGCTTTTTTTCTTACAAATATAAAATAGGCACCTTTATTTTTGCCTGTTTGTGTGTATAAAATATGTATTTACGTAAATATGTACTTAAATAGGTATATGTATCTATTTAAAGCTTGACTTTTTCCATCTTTGTTGGTTTATGGTAAAAGAATAGACAGCAAAATGCTTGTTGGCTCCAGGGAATGGGAAAAAAATAGGGATTTTCTAGATGACTCAGTCCAGGTACAGGTCAGAAGCTCAATATTTAACTCCTCCCTTAGCTTTTGTGTCAAGCTCAGCCATGGTGTGAGAGGTCCTGAACTCAAACCCAGCAATACCTTCAGGGAAACTGTTCTAAATTCTTCACAAACAGTAAAAATTCCCAGATTTTTCTGCATATGTTTGTTTCCAACTTGCCCATCTAAGTGACCTTTACAGACTCCTGAATTTTTGCAGTTTTCCTCAATTGTTTGTGCCACCATCAGTGCAATAACAGAAACGTGGCTATTTTAGGCTTTCAATCAACAATTGCACGTTGAAGAAAAGTTCTGCCAGTGAAATTTCTGTCCCTCTCATGACCTGACTGGGGAAAGACACCCAAATTCCAAAGAGCTGACTGAATTCCACAGTTTTCCTCCCCATAAAAATGGCCCCAGTGAGGTGTCCTTCCCAAATGGTTTTCAGGGTGGGCTGTGCCCCTCGGAATTCTCCGTGTGCAGGATTCAGTTGGTCACCAAAAAATCACGTGATACCATTTCTGTTCTTATTTGGATGACCTTCCTTCTATAAATAGGGACAGCACAGGAAGATATCACCAGGGATCCAGTTCCTGTTTAGGGCAGGGGGTTGGGGATGTTCCTTTTCTGCAGGGGGAAAAAAAAAAACCCAACCAAACCCTGTGTGTTTTTTGTGAGACAAACAATTCTAATGCAAGTGTGTGGCAGAATAATTAATTTTTCTCCCTTCACTGAGCTTTGCTCGATCCTTAGAGCCCCAGCTCTGGTTCTCCTTCTGTTGTTCTCATGCTTGATGATGGACATAAAGCCCTTCTCATCTTCCGAGTGGCTCTAATTGCAGCTCTACCCCAAGGTCCCCTTTGGAACAGCCCTTTCTGTACCACATCCCTAATTTAGGCCAGGCCTATGAGCTGTGGAAAGACCCAGGTCTTGCCTGAAATACAGGAACTTTCAGAGGGGGGCTGGGGAAGTGTCTGAGTGCAAGATCTCAAACTGGGCCGTGTCCTGGAGGTCATGTCAGTGTTGTGGAGGGTGCTGGGGAGGGTTTCCCTTCCTCCTCCTTCCCAACTTTATACCCAGCTACTGGATATCAAACTCCAGTGATAGGAAAGAGAGAAATGGGAAATGTAATCACACACTGCTGTGTCTTCCTAGTCTCCATAATTTAAATATTCATTTTTTTGGGGGGCACAGCCCAGCTGGCAAACTGCAGCCACAGGATGATGATGATGATGATGGTTTTTAAGTGCAAACAGTGAGGGCCTGGGTGTGCCTCTGGTTTCCATGTTTGTTTTTGACAGTTATGTAAGATTCTGAAGGCGGATTTCTTTTCCCCCCTCCTTCTTCAGCACATGTGCACTAAGTCATCCCCCTAATCCTGTGCTCAGCCAGCCCGTT